GCCTTAGCCACTTGAGCCACAGGTGCCCAGCCACAGGTGCCCAGCCACGTTTTACATTTTTATAATGGCCGCCCTGTCCTCTGAAGCATTTGACAGCGTCAGTCACACCCTTCCTGGGTTCTGAGGTACCCTCCACTGTGGGCGTCCTCTCTGCTTATGCTGTCTCAGTTGGTCTTGTGGGCTCCTCGTTCTCTCCCTGCCTCTTGCCCAAATATCAGCATCCTCACAACCTTGGCCCTTGTTCTCTGCTCGTTTCAATCTGAGTACTCAGCCCCTCCTGTGCCCAGCACTTCAGCTATTGGGCCATAGGTGAGGGCTTCTCATCTCCTTGTCCTCCTTAGGCCTGTCTTGTCAGTGGTAGACACGTGCCTCCATCTGCCTTCTGGAGATTTCCACTGGCAATCCAAGGTCAACTTGCTCAAGACTGGGCACAGCCACCCCCCATAGTGGCCTGACCCCCTTCTCTCATCCCATCCAGTGCAAACACCACGGCATCATCTCAGTGATACATCTTAACCATATTTATTATCAGTCACTGTGCCAAACACACCCCATACATTTCTCATTTAATCCCCACAACTCTCTTATCCTTCTTTTTCGTTCTGAGACAGAGTCCTGTTCTGTCAGTCAGGCTGGAATATGGTGGTACGGTCATAGTTCACTGTAGCCTTGAACTGGGCTCAAGCAATCTTCCTGCCTCAGCCTCCCAATTAGCTGGGACTGCAGGTGCATACCACCACACCTGGATAATATTGTAATTTCTGTAGAAACAGAGTCTTGCTATGTTGCCCAGGCTTGTCTTGAACTCTTGGCCTCAAGCTATCCTACTGCCTCAGCCTCCCAAAGTGCTGGGATTACAAGTGTGAGTCACCGTGCCTGGCCTGTTATCCCCATTTTGAACATGAGAAAACTGAGGCTTTGGAAGGTAAGATGCCTTAACTTGAACTTTACCTTGGAAGTGAGAACAATGTAACCTACAAATCTGTATCCACATATTAATTTAAAATAAAACATAAAAAATTAAGTTAAAACAAATAAACAAAAAAGGACGCTTTTAAGTAGCAGAGCCAGGGACAGTACCTGGGAAGTCTGATTGAAAAGCCTCCATGCCCAGACCAGGTCTATTCAGGGTTGGAGCTTGAGGGCTGTTCCTGTCACTCTGCATGTATAGAGTCCCCAATGTTCCTGGCATCAGTGCCACCACATCCAATGAGGTGACAAGTCTTGGGCGGTCTCCCTCACATCGTGGCCACAGCATCAGTTCAGACCTTCACCATTGCTCTTCCTCTGGCCTCCCCTGCTTCAGTTTACCCTCCTCACTTCTAAGCTTGCAAATTTGTCTCAGAAATAAACTTGATCAGATCATTCTCTTGATGAAAACTCTTCAATATTAACGGTCCAAACCTTTCCGTTGACACTCAGTCCTTCTAGGTGGACCCCGGCTCCATCCCCCAATCTCCCCTCCTACCTCAGGCACTTCTCCCAGGGCAAGGTTTGGTTTTACCCATCTTTGCTCACCTGTCCCGGCACCAGCATTTAGTCCATGTTTCTTGAGTGAATATAGAAAGTCATGCTTCTTCATTAAAACTTTCAATTTCTCTTCTCTAGATCCGAGATGAAGCAAATAATTGAATATTATAAGCAAGTGATAAAAATAAAGGAAAATGCAGACTCTCTGACCAACTCCTCACTCATCAGGAAACATCTGAATGTCAGCCTCAGCGACACCTTGTGTAAATTAGGTAAGTGTGCTGACCGAATCTATTACGAGCAAGTGGCTTTTCCCTTTGTTTCATCTGCATACTTTATTTATTCTATTTATTTTTTGAGATAGAGTCTCACTCTGTCACCCTGGGTAGAGTGCCAAGGTGTCATGATAGCTCACAGCAACCTCAAACTCCCGGGTTTAAGTGATCGTCTTGCCTCAGCTTCCTGAGTAGCTGGGACTGCAGGCGCTCACCACGATTCCTGGCTAGTTTTTCTATTTTTAGTAGAGATGGGAGTCTCCTGCTCAGACTGCTCTTGAACTCCTGAGCATAAGCAGTCCACCCACCTCGGCCTCTCTGAGTGCTAGGATTACAGGTATGAACCACTGAGCCTCGCTACTGTATTTTTAAAAAGTTTTCACTTTGGCTTGGTGCCTGTGGCTCAAGCAGCTAAGGCACCAGCCACATACACCTGAGCTGGCGGGTTTGAATCCAGCCCGGGTCTGCCAGACAATAATGACAGCTGCAACCAAAAAATAGCTGGGTGTTGTGGTGGGTGCCTGTGGTCCCAACTACTTGGGAGGCGGAGGCAGGAGAATTGCTTGAGCCCAGGAGCTGGAGGTTGCTGTGAGCTGTGATGCCACATCACTCTACCCAGGGCGACAGCTTGAGACTCTGTCTCAAAAACAAACCAAAAAGGTTTTCACTTTCAGATGCTTTCAACTATTTTTTGCTACCTATTTACCTTCCATTATTAGGGAAGATACATTTTAACAATCTTTTCAGTCCATTTCTCATTCTTGTATAAGCTAAACATGTACTACACCCCTCTCTCCATTTTCTTCAAATTCTGTCTTAAGAAATTGTTTGCACTGTGTGTGCGTGGCCTCTTTGTGACTGTTCATGCTGTGACACTAAAGGTGACATGTGACCAGAAATAATAAGATGGCTTTTCATGAGGCCCACCCGTAGTTTTAGTTATATGACGTAGGTCTCAGGTTCTCAGACCTGGTCCAGAGGTTTGAAGGCCAGATCAACGTAAAGATACAAATTAAAAATTTAAAATGAGATAAAAGTTAAATATTAAAATTAAAAAATTTGGCTTTTAATCTCATGAGGAGGAGAGGGGGGTTCTGTTCCTTTATTCCTCTTGGTACCTGTCGCTTCTGTTATTATTTTAGGGGAGGAGTTCCAATTCTCTTTTGGAGTTTCTTTGACCAAAATGTTGATCTTGTTACTTGCAGTTTATGGTGACTATTGGGATTCTTCTTCACTGGTACTGGCTCAGTTAAGTGAGACTTATTTCCATCTTCCAGGGGCAGACTACTCAGGGGCCTCCTAAGAGACAGGCTCTACTCTCCAGGCTTTGCCAAGGACCTTGTTTTTTACTGCCTTGGTACTTACTTGGCCCCTTAACCTGTTAGCTTGTTGCTACAAACTTGGAAATTGAGGAGAACAGAGAGTTGAGTTGGAGGCTGCAGATGTTACTTGGATAGAAGAATGGAGACGCCTTGCCCACTGGGAAGGGCGTGGGCAGGACAGAGGCAGTCAAGGGCCTGAGCCCCACAGGGCAGAGCCTCTCAGCTTTTGTGTCTTAGATGAGCAGGTTCCCAGTGTTCCAAATCGAGACTCTCAGCCATAGGGCAGCTGGACAGGGGTGGAGCCCCCTGAAGTGGTCATCTCTAGTGTTTTGTAGATTTGTTTATTTTAGTGGGCTATACAAGAGTTTTCATTTTCTTGAGTGCCACAACTAGAAAAAGAAATTGGAACGCTGTCAGGGGTCCTGATGTCTCATCCACATGGCACTATCTGCACTTCAATCGAAATAAATGGTTTTAAGTAGGGCTGATTTTGCCCTCCAGGACAAAAGTTTGGAGAAATTTTTTTTTTCTTTTTTTGAGACAGAGCCTCAAGCTATCCCCCTGGGTAGAGTGCTGTGGCTTCACAGCTCACAGCAACCTCCAACTCCTGGGCTCAAGCGAGTCTCCTGCCTCAACCTCCCAAGTAGCTGGGACCACAGGCACCCGCCACAACGCCCAGCTATTTTTTGGTTGCAGCCATCATTGTTGTTTGGCGGGTCTGGGCTGGATTCGAACCTGCCACCTTAGGTGTATGTGGCTGGTGCCTTAGCCACTTGAGCCACAGGCGCCGAGCCTGCAGAAATTTTTGATTGGTATCATTGGCTGGGGGGTGGAGGGGATGGGAACACTACTATCATTTAGTGGGTGGAGGCCAAGGATATGGCTGAACATTTTACAAGGCCCCAAACAGCCAGCCCCCACAACAAAAAATTATCTGTCCCAACGTCAGCAATGCTGAGGTCGAGAGACGGTGACCTACAGCAGCCACTTCCTACAGCACGTGCTTGTCATCCATTTCACAACAACACATGATTGCTTTTGGCCTAGTCACTTATTGAGGCAGAAAAAGGCTTAAAATGATGGATACAGTAAATGTAGTAAAATAATATTTCCAGTTTATAGATGTACAAGTGTATGTGCCTTTTTTCTTTTCTTTTTAGTTGAGTATTTCCAGGCTGAGCATGTGAAGCATTTTATTTGCACACAGAAAATGCAGATGTAAGCCAGGCATTGTGGCAGGTGCCTGTAATCCCAGCTACTCCGGAGGCTGAGGCAGGAGGATTGCCTGAATGCAGGAGTTTGAGGTTGCTGTGCGCTAGGCTGACGCCACGGCACTCTACCCAGGGCACCAGAGTGAGACTCTATCTCAACAAAACAAAAGAAAACAAAACAACAACAAAGAAACGCAGGTGCAAATCTAGAGAAAATATATGGAAAAGGAACTACTTTATCTGCTCACTTCTTTCAATATTCTGTTATGTAACAGTTTGGTGTCTGTTCTGTGATAGAAATATATTTATTTACTTTCAGATGAAGAGGCATCTGTAAGGTGGCCATTGCTGTGTTTTTGGTGACTTAAGTCTTTATAATATTTTTAAATTTTGTAGTCGATTTTTAATGTGGTTAAGGAGGCCTTCTTGCTACCATTTCTTGCCATCACTATCTCCTGCTGTTGATTGAAGTTGATTTCTTTAACATAAGGCTCACTTCTGGCTTACAGGAACATTGTGGGTGGTTAATCAAGCCGTTAAAGTGCAAGTCTTGTGCCCTTGTTTTAACTGGTGACAGTGAGAATGGACCAACGTTATCACTTCACAAAGACAAGAGCATTAGGAGGGAAAGTAGACTGTTTATGGAGATCTCTGAATCCATTGTTCATTCATAGATAAGAAGTATTTTTAGTTTTCCTCCCTTTAATGGAAATTATCCATCTAAATGGAAATATGCCTGAGGTGACTCCATAAAATAAGAAAGGAGCCAGAGCTGCATATAGCTGGGACTCCTTACCATTAATCACTTTTAAAGACATCTTGGGCTTCTGTAGTAAAAGTGTTACTGAATATGGTCAAAGCAGTTCTGTTGGAAGCCACAGGTGTGTATTCTTTTATTGAGGAGGGGGAAAAGGAGAACTGTGGTGTAGAGATGACATTTTTAAATTCAGCAAGTCTTTAGTTTAAGTGCTTAACACATTGTAATGCATGTCAGAATTATGAGGTTGTATTCTCTTACCTGATTAGTTTGTGGAGCTGGAGTGGTTAGGGAGAATCGTTTGCCCTGTAAGGAAACACAACATGCCTCGCCCTCTTGGTACACACAGTGTGAAGCTCCCCGTGTCATGGCAGCTGAGTTGTAAATAACTGCTTGCTTCTGACTCTGTGACTGGCTTGGGGGCTTGTTGCTGCCCAACGTGGTTCATCTGCCCAAAGCCGTTACCCAGAAAGAGCAAGGTTTACAGCAGAGAGTTTTTCTGCATAGGGTTAAGCAGGGAGATGGGAGGATTTTCTCAAATACAGTTTGACAGGCAGGGGTATTAGGTAATTAGGTTTGCTAATTGGCCGAGTTTGGGGTAATACTATAGGGGTCTGGAAATCACTTTCTTGTTTTTCTTCAGCCCCTGGGGTCATGATTCTAGTAGGGTTGGTTTGTTGGTCTGGGCCGCTGGTCTTGGTAGGCTAGCCAATACACTTGAATGCAGGGCTTGGAAGACAGCTTAGAAACTACCTTTATGGTTCCAAAAGATGATGTTATTTGTGGAGAATCTTTACAGCTACTGCCTATGAGTAATTGGGGACAGTAGCTGATTATCATCACTATTTTTGGTTAAGCTTGTTCCTTTATAGAGTTTTGGGGCTCTTAGTTCTTACCTTGCACCCTGTCATCATCAGTAAGGGCAGTTTCAGACTCATGTATGAAACTACTATTTATTTCTTTTGTTTGTAACTTGTCTCCCTTCTGGGGAGGACCCTTGGGTGCTCTTCAGGGAGGTTGCTTGTCACTAAAGTGGTCTCCTAGGTCCCTCAGTGTGACTTTTATGATGCCATATGGACTGTATTTTAGTTCACATCATCCCAAACATACTTTCTAAATTTGGTGCAGAAGTATTTTGGTCTTTTCTGAGTGTAGTCACAGACAAACAGACAAACAGATAGACACTAGGTTCCCCATGCTCAAAGGAAGGTACTAAAAGCTGTGTAGGATTCAAAAATCAAAGAAGTTAACTTCTGCCTTCAAGCAACTTACCATTTTATTAGGACACAAAACAAAACTTAGACTAAAAAAATATAACACATCAAGGATTTAAAATGTAGCCTGAGGCTCAATGAGTAGTGCCCCGGCCCCATACATTGAGGGTGGTGGGTTCAAACCCGGCCCCAGCCAAACTGCAACAACAATAACAAAATAGCTGGGTGTTGTGGCAGGCACCTGTAGTCCCAGCTACTCAGGAGGCTGAGGCAAGAGAATCGCCTAAGCCCAAGAGCTGGAGGTTACTGTAAGCTATGACGCCCCAGTACTCTACCAACGGTGACAAAATGAGACTGTCTCAAAAAAAAAAAAAAAAAAAAAGCAACAACAACAGAAAAAACCATACCCTGGCAGGAGGGGACTGAACTGGATTTTGGTTTTAGCTTGACAAAAATCAGCCATGTGACCTTCAGCAAGTTACAACCTCCCTGG